GATGTGGGACACACAGGTCTGATGTGGGACACACAGGTCTGATGTGGTCACTGATAAAACAAGGCTTTAGAAAAATAAAATCTTAATACATCAGAGGTGAGTTCATAGAGTCGGAGCGTCGTTCAGCCAACCAGCTGCTGCTTAGATCTGAAAATAAATTAGATCAAAGGATTGCTTCATCATCCAAACAGCTGTCAGAACAATAAGCAGAAAATAAAAACTAACAAAAATAAATAAAATCAGAATTGGTGCACCTCTTGTGCCGATCAGAAGATAATCAGCGGTCAGTAGCTGCAGAATAAAAACAGGAAGCTGTCGAGTCATCCGAACCTCAGAACATTTTGGTCTCAGCTGAAGTTTAAAGTCATCGATCGTCTTCAAACACTTTGACTAACTCCTCACGTCATAAAATAACTCCTCCTCAAACCAGGTTCAAACTAACTCCTCAAGTCAGGTTCAAACTAACTCCCCCACAAGTCTAATTTAAACTAATTACTCATAAGGTCAGGTTTTAACTAAGTCGTTCTTAAGTCCCATTCAAATTAACTCCTCCTCAGGTCAGGTTCAAACTAACTCTTTAAGACAAATTCAAACAATCTCCTCAAGCCTGGTTGAAACTAACTCGTCAGGTTGAAACTAACTCCTCTTCAAGTCATAATCAAACCAAATCCTCCTCAGGTCAGGTTTAAACCAACTCCTTCTCGAGTCAGGTTTGGAGTTAAATAAACCAACTACTTCACAGGTCTGGTCCAGCTTGATCAAAATCCTTCTCAGGTTCACTTCAAGTCTAAAGTCCTTTCAGGTCTGGTTTAAGTTTTAGTTACATGTTCTCGGATTGGGTTTAGGTTCAAAATGTCTTCGAGTCAAGTTCAGGGTTAAACTAACTCCTTGGGCCCCGTTTAGGGTTCAGCTGGTCTCTGTCAGGTCCGACCAGATGTTCTGATCCGTGGTTTTGGTGCTCTGCTGATGTCTGGAAGAACGTTCATCATATAAAAACTTTCAGGAACCTTTGGGTCTATTTGCATATTTTCTGCTTCTTCAGTTTTTGTGCCGAGTCGACTCATCAGCGCTTCTTGCCGATTCGTCGGGACCTCCTGAGGCCACGCCTCCTGCGGTTCTGCGTAGACCTCCAGGACCGCAGGAAGTACCTGTTCGGGCTTATCCTGTGGCTCCGATTCTCCAGATCAAACTGTCTCTGCAGTTTGAGGGCAAGCGCTCGGTCCTGCTGGATCTGACAAAATGCCTCCTGGATTACAGGCTGGCTCCTCTTCAAGTCTGGGTCCAGACCAGGGTCCAGGTGTTTGGTCTTCTGGACCCTCTTCTTGCCCCTCCTGGAGGTAGACTGGTTGTGGATGCTGCCATCACACTCCTTCCTGGGACTCTGCCAATCTTTGAGCACTACTTTACTCGAGTCGTTGGCGTAAGGTGCGACTGAGTGTTTCCGGCAGAACAGCGCCGGCCCGCCGCAGGGCTCAGTGGTACCTCTTGCTGGCTCTCCATCAGAACATCCCCGCAGAATTGTGTTGCTACCGTAGTGAATGGCAGGGACTCGGATCTTTACGGACTGATTCTGGAAGTCCTCGGAGTCTCCGGCTGGAGAGTCGAACAGCAGTTTCCTCTTGTTCGACACCGTCACGCAGTCTCCGGCTCGGTGTTGACGGGTCGTTGTGGCGCCACTTCCTCCAGTGGGCCTGCTGTGGAGCTCAGAAACTGGACTCGTCAGCGTGGCCTTGGAGCTCACTTTGACGCTCTGCCGGTCCAGTTCGATCTGCCTCCACTTCTGCAGGACGGCCGGACTCGCCTCGTAGCTGGTGACCTTCTGCAGTCCGCGGGTCAGGTTCCGTGGAGTGGACTTTACAATGGTGGGTTCCATGAGACGACCGTCCGGCAGGCGTTTGGGTGGCGTGCACGGCGAGCAGACAATGGGCTTGAAGTGGTTGAGCTCCTCTGAGATGCTGTCGTTGCTCTCAGGGCTGATGGAGCGCTCGGTTCTGGACGGGGGGACGCCAAGAGGAGTGCAGGAGGTCAGAACCGCCCTCCAGGTGAGTCTCCGGTCCGGAGCCGTGATGGGAGCCGACACGGAGCGGCTGTTCTCCGACGACAGGAGGATTCCTGCTGCTGAGCTGTGGCTGATTCCCACCTGACAGAAACACAGAGTCGGATCAGAACCGCAGAAACATTTTCAAGTTCTGAGAGCTGCTCGTAGTCTGGGTCCGAGCAAACGAATCTACAAAACCGTCCTGGACTACGGATCTTTTTACATTTTCCTTCCTATGATCCAGACTTTAAAGAAACATTTTGTTTTAGGGCCAGAAGGCGGACGGGTCGTAAGAAGAACCTGAGAAATGTCATTTCCTGTGAACATGCAGCGTGAACTGCTGAACGATTTTAGCTGAAAGCTGCTGAAGAAGCTGAAAAGGTTTCAGCGCATATCACGCTCACAACATCCACAAACGGAGGACATTTCCAATTCCCCCTGGTCGCTCCACTACGGAGGACAATAACTAAGGACTGGACCAGGACTATTACTGGAGACCACAGTGTAGGACCAGAACCAGAGAGGAACCCTCAGGTCGTTCAGGTGTTTTTGTCTCGGACATACCCGCTCCATGGCGGCTGCTGGTTGGATCAGGACCTTCATCTTTCCTCCTTGATCCTCCATCGGGTCGGTGCAGCTCTGACTCCTCTGAGATCCACTGAGGAAGAAACACAAAGGTCAGAGGTCGGACCCAGAGGGTGCTGAATGTTTGACCCGGTCCGCTCACCTGCTGAAGGCCGAGTAGTTTTTGGTTTTCCTGATGAAGGCTGAGATGTTTTTGATCCTCCTGCTGATCGGCTCCTCGTTCTCCGAGTCGGACAGAACCCCCTGATAAAACCCAGCTGGTTTAAGGAAACGTCAGGAGAAAGTGCAGACATTTTATCAGCTGTGGTTCTGGCAGACTCACCGGTTCTTCAACACGACGGCCTGGCCCAGAATCGTCTCTACAGATCAGAGAGTTCCTCCTCCTGGCCTCATCTCTGTCATCAGAAACCAGAACCTGAAGCAAGAAGAACCAAAACAACAGGGGTTCATACTCAGGTCTGCATCAGAGCCAAACGAGTCCAATCACCTGCTCATAGAACCTCACAGAGTCCTGACCCACCTTGTGCTTCCCGGTCAGGTCTGAGAGAACGTCTGCAGACTTTGGGAGGAGAGCCGGACAGACGAAGAGTTCTGAGGAAACAACAGAAACCACATGAAGAACCCACATTTCTACTCTCCTGAACGTCCAGTTCTGAAGAACACTGGAGGATCAGCTGGCACCGACGCCATCTACGCTAACGAGACAACAGTTTACGGGGGTAAGCCGTTTCCGTTAATCCAAAACAACTTATTTTCATCTTGGACAAGCAGATCTCGCCTCGAGGACGTCCGGTGGACAACAGACATGGATTAAAGTTCTCCGTCATCTTTAAAAATGGAAGAGGAGAAAAAAAAAACGTGGGTTTTGTTGTGGTCTTGTTAACGCCACCCGATCTAATGATGATACAGGGATTAAAGTGATGCTGCGCCTGCGAGAGAACCAGAGCCACAGTTTGACCCAATCAGAGCAGGGCCGGGCACCGATCAGGGTTCCCTGGACTAGTTCCCAAGGAGGACACCCCGCTGCCCTAAATGAAGGTGATGACGGGTAATAAACTATTAAACATCTGAGTGTCTCTCACAGCGAGAGAGGCTGCGTCTGCTGCTTCAGTTCTTATAATTAAGCAATATTAATATTTATATTCCACCAGATTATAGCAAACATGCGTCTCCATTGATTTTTACCTTAAATTCACGAGCCAAGGTCTCCGTCCTCTCTGTTGTTTGAGTGAATTAAACTGAGCAGAGCTCTGCTTGGACTAACAGAACTTTCGGTTCTGGTCTGGTTAGAATGATCCCAGAGGTGGTGGTGTGCCGGTGGTCTGTGTTGACCCGGCTCGTTAAACACCGTCTTCTGTTCTCATGCACAAAGTTTATTAAAGTAAAAGCTCTCATGGACCCATCATCCCGCAGATGTTGCCTTCCACAGGTGCATTCAGTGACACACGTAGCTCCTCACAAGATGGCTGCCAAAACCCTCTCCAGCTCAGACTTCACAGCAGAACCATCAGTTTAAAGTTGGACTTTCCATGACTGAAGTGCTGTTTTCAGAACTTTAACAGTTTTTACACATTAACAATGAGGATATTACAGATGTTACTACAGAAGGCTCAGATTATCCGACTGCGACTCTTGGTGGACCGCAGACCTGTCGCTTGACGTTTGAACATGTTAAAACAACAACAAAACAATTTATCTTTCATAATCTCAGTGAACCGGTGCGCCTCGGACCGCCTCAGTAATTCTGTGTTCTGACAGGAAACAGTCTGGATGTCCCAGTCCAAAACCACCGACGACAAATAATAATTACAAACTGGTCCAGATCTGCCGTCTTCAGGTGAACTCCTGCAGAACATAGAGACGTTGGACCACAGCTAAAAGAAACGTGTCCATTTTTCTGCTTTTACTTCTACAGAACATTTAAATCAAATAATGCAAACGAACAAAACAAACCAGGAAAACAACAAATACAGTAAAACAAGACTAAAAACAGCACAACATCAAGACCTGGTGGACGCAGACTGGACTCTGGATCCTGACCGGAGACAAACTTCTACTTTAACCTCGGAAACAGAAGATTGTTGTTGTAATTATTAAATCCCAGATTATTTTAGTTGGGCTTCAGAGAAGAGACGGAACAACTCAGTGGTATCTAAAATCAAAGGAGTCTTTAAATCAGTACTCTCAGTTCTGATGGCGAGTTCCACCTGCAGAAGAACAAGTCTGGACAAGTTCTGGATGGTCCACCTGAACCATGGACGCGTCTCAAGATAGTCGTGGGTTAATCTGATCATGTTTTCATTGATTTATCTTTGATTAACCAGAGATTATCAGCTTCAATTCAATCGTTTTAATCCCATCACTGGCTGAAACTAGCTAAAATCAGCAGAAACTGACGGAAGCTAAAGTCAGCAGAAAACAGCTAAAATCTGCAGTTTTCAGACTCAGCTCCGGATACCTAATAAACTTAGTCTTAAATTTAAAAAGCTTTCTGTTTTTAGCGGTTCTTTGGTGAAACAATCACGCAGACGGAGCTAATTCAGCGACATGTGAGCTGGACTTCCCCGGGTAAAGACACCGACCTCTCTGACAGTCGCAGTCCCTCCTGCCCGCTCTGCTGCTGCCTCTCTCGGGGTCACTCCTTCTCCGGAGCCGCTCCTCGCTGCCCGGGACTCTCCGGGCCGGGCACAGGGAACAGGCCGCCGGGCTGCCGCCGGGTCGACGCTCCGCGCAGGCCGCGCACTTCTTCGCCCCGCTCTCCGGAGGGTTGGACCCGGACCGGTACCCGCCGGCTCCGGAGCCGAGCGCTAACCGGGACATGTCGGCGGCGGTGCCGGTCGAGCTGTGAAGATGTTCGGCGAACCTTGCGGTCGCCATCTTTCCTGGTGAGTCTTCTCTCTGCGCTCTCAAAACAAACCCCGCCCCTCGGCCCGAACAGCGCGAGCGCAAAGTGGACGCGCGTGCAGCCAGCCAACCGCGCAGCTGGGAAACAGCGGCGCGAGACTCCCGTGACAGAAGTCAAATTTCAAAATAAAACCAGAACAGAACAATAGCACAATAAAACATAAACATGGTTTAACATAAGCCAAAATAACACAAGAGGATAATGATAATTTCAATAGAAAAATCAAATGTTCTTGTTTTTAGTACCGTATTTTACACATAGAGACAAACGAGACAATAATAATAATAATAATATAATAATCATTTTATTTAAAAAGCGCCTTTCATGACACCCAAGGACACTTTACAGTAAGAACAAAGATCAACAGACAAACCATTCACTCTCTCACTTAGGGACAATTTAGAGTTACCAATCAGCCTAACATGCATGTTTTTGGTCTGTGGGAGGAAACCGTGGTACCCGGAGAAAACCCACGCATACACGAAAAGAACATGCAATTAGAATAGGAAAAAAGACTCACATCCATTATTCTTCTAAACATGCTGTAAACCCTTACTTCCACCATCAGAGGAATCCAGATTTCCACAGTAAGTATTTTGTTTCTGAAACTCCTGCTCAGGGATCACAACATAAAGAACTGAAAGTCCAGTCAGAAAGATCAAACACAGCATTATCTTTAATCTTACACACCCTTGTTGATTCTTAGCAGTAGCTCAACTCCAACCAGTAGTCATCCAGACAGAGAAATGCTTATTCTATATGATTTTTACACTCCTACATCCACATTTAGACAAGCAGCTGTCATCATGCCTGTCACTGTAATATACTGAGTTATTTCTACTACTGTACTTGTTTTTATTTACAACTACATCGGGTGTATGCCATAGTGTTGCACATGTTTGTGTTATTAGCTTTATTACAAGTTGTTGTACATACATTTTCTTTGTACCGTATAGAACCACAAACATCTATACGTTCTTATGTATAGCAGTGGTTACTCTGGTCCCTGAGGAACACCACTCTGCACGTTTTAGTTGTTTTCCTGCTCCAACACACCTGACGCATTGATTTAATTACTCCATGTTCTGCAGAAGCCTGTAAATCACCCATTTAATAAAATCAGGTGCGTCGGAGCAGAGAAGCCACTCAAATGTGCAGAGTGGTGTTCCTCAAGGACCAGGGTTGGGAACCCCTGATGTTATATAATGAAGTGAAAATGTTTTATTTTGAAAGGTTTGATAAGTTCCGGTTGTGGCTGCGCAAACCGGAAGCTGCGAAACCACATGGCTGAGGAGGATTCCCGGTGACCCACGGTCAGTCAGGTGAAATAAACAGAAGAAATGTGATTGAATCACAGAAACGCGATGGATTTAAACTGAAAACTTAACAAAAGAAGTCCGAGATATAAAACTGTTTCGTGTCAAACCGCGGCTCTGTGGATTCCAGGTGTTTCCAGTCGTTTTCCAGCCTCCACCTGTTTGTGTTTAATCACATCAATAAGCCGAACTCACTGTGAGGGCCTGTAGTTTGTCACGGAACCAAGTTGGTTCCGACCACCTTAACTGGATCTCTAGAGAACCAAAGCAAGCCTAAAACAGGGAGATTCTCGGGCACGTTCTGCAGCGTCTCTTTTCTTTGGGGCTTTCCCGTTATTAAAAAAACATTTGAGCAGTTTCCTCTAAAGCGTCACGTCTGAAGGACTCTGATGTTGGAATGTTTCTCTGACGTCAGATGAAGCAAAGGAAGGCCCTGGATATCTGGAAACATTCTTAAAAGGATCAGAATTATTTCTTTGTTAAATGTTTGTAGCAACTGTTAAGTTAAAATCTTTCAGTGTCCAGTTTTAATAAAAACAGAGCGTGTGATCCGATGAAACGTTTACACGTTTGTTCTGACTGGAATGCCTCTTCCGGTCCTGTTTCAGTTCTGGATGCGGGCTGGCAGGCCTCTGGTGGAGGTGGTCCGCCTGGGCCTGCTGTCCTATCAGGAGGGTCTTCGGCTGCAGCAGGTCTATTTAAACCGGCTCCAGTCCAGTCCGGCTCACGCCCTGCTGCTGTGCGAGCACCCACCTGTTTACACTACCGGGATCCGGCACAAACCGTACCCCGGTGCCCTGCTGGACCAGCTCCGGCTGCTGGGTGCCGACGTCCACCGCACCAACCGAGGAGGACTCATCACCTTCCATGGCCCAGGACAGCTGGTCTGCTACCCGGTTCTGAACCTGTGCAGCTTCAAAAAGGTGAGAAATGAGCAGAACGAGATCAGTGATGTGTTTGGACCCGTAACGTCGGTTCTGTTCTGGCAGAGTGTTCGTTGGTATGTCGGTCAACTGGAGAAGACCATCATCACCCTCTGCAGCAGGTTCGGTATCGAAGCAACCACGTCTCCTCACACTGGAGTTTGGGTCGGAGACAACAAGATCTGCGCCATCGGTAGGTCGGCCATGCTCTGGTTAACTGGCAACTCTTCTAGCTGCTGGTTCAAACTCAGCTTTTAGCTGCTGGTGTTTTTTCTTACCGTCCTTACAGTTTGTTGTGTTTTCAGGTATCCACTGCGGGCGCTACGTCACATCTCACGGTTTGGCTCTGAACTGTAACACGGACTTGTCCTGGTTCCGTCACATCGTACCGTGTGGCATCGAAGGGAAAGGCGTGACGTCGCTGAGCTGCGAGCTGCAGAGAGACGTCAGCGTGGAGGAAGCCATTCCTCACCTGCTGGATGCCTTCGCGGAGCATTTCACCTGTCGTCTGACTGACGGAGACACACCTGAGACCGATGAGGATGGCAGCGTGTCGTCGACATAAAGTGTTATTCTGAGAGGCTTGGTGCGACCCGAGTCCAAACGAGCTGTTTTTTTTTTTACCTAAATTGAGACTGATTAATAAATTATTTACATTTTTCTTACTAAAGTTTATTTACTTATGCCCTAATTTATTAAAAACAGGACTAATGAAAACAAATGAAACGTTTTTTTTTTCATTAAAAGTTCAGTTTAACAGAATTCTTTAAGAAATATCTCATGGTATTTTTTTTTTTTCAAACGAATTTCTTTTGAAATAAGTTTTTGTGCTGAAGTTTCTGAAAACGGTCCCGACTCGTTGAAGGTGATTCACGAACCAACAGAACCCGATTAAAGATGGAGAGGTGTTTGCTACTTTTAAAATGTGCTGCTCTTGTTTCTGTTTATCAGCTGTCCAACTCGGTATTTGGAGGGATTAACAGATTAAAAACACAATAAATACATATTTAACACAGATTACACTTTAACTTGTTGTCTGAGAGTCTATTTAGTTAGATCCAGTTTTGAAAGAAACCAGTCTGGCCCACATTCAAAACACCAGAACCCGTCCTGATTCATTCAGTGCTTCTTAACAATATGACTTGCTCGTCAGGGATCGGAACATCCCAGTTCGGAAAGCTTCCCCAGCTGAGGCAGTACACCGGAAGTGGATACTATTTTTTTGCGTTAATATTTTACAGATTATGGTTTAATTTTTTAATATATATTTTTATACTTGTAGGATTTTAAAAGTAACACTACTAAAGAGCGAAAAAAAAAAATTCACTTTTGACTAAAACAAAATTATACTTAACAACCGGAAGTGACTTGTTTCCGTTGCAGATGTTTTTGGTGTTCGTGAACTTTGTGAACTTTTCTCTGGATTATATGAAACTTTTCTCCGGGTTGTGGCAGCGTAATCCTCCCGGTTAGCTGTCTGTTTCTTGTGGTATGTCTACCCTGTATCCACACATAGACATAAATACGTCTGTGTAGTCGCATATGTCTATGCTCGTAGCTGCTAGCTTTAGCTAACTGTAGCTAACGTTAACCGGAAAAGGCGGGGTCACAGTTGACGCGCAGCCGCAGTGACGACCCGGCGCTAAGCGTCGGGCGAAGACTGGAGACTGAACGCCGAGCTTCCCCACACCTGTTCGCTCCTGTCTGATGGCCGAGCTTTAGCCTCGTTTGTCGGTTAGCATGGAGGATACCGGAGACTTGAACGCTGACATGAGATGTCAGAGCACCGGGGACCCGCAGTTGGACAAGGCGGTGCACCAGTGGTTAACGTGGGACCGGGTGAGTGCCTGTCGGCAGTAAAGTTCAGCCCCGAGGCAGCCGGGCTGCTGACCGCAGGAAGCTACCTGAGCGCCCGTTATCCCAGAGACTACCTGAAAACTCTAATCCAAGACAAGTTTCTGGGGACAAGAAATTATATTCTATCATACACTATTATATTCGGTTGTGACAAACTTTGACTAAAGCGTCACTCACCTGAGCAGGTAACAAACTCCGAGAAGGATGAAACATTTCTGTTCTGGAGGCCTGGACATGTTTCCTTTAGAATCCTAATCCCATTTTATTCCTTTAGTTTGACATCGAGCTGGAGGAAGATTTCACCTGAAAAGATGCTGAAAAACTCAAAACATAAATTTAACCTGATTTACTGAGCTGAACCTCACTTAGTGGATGAAAAAATATAAGTTTTTATTTATTATTTTTGGTTTGTGTGTGTGTGTTTTTCTGAACTGTATAAAACCGGATGGTCCTGCAAAGATCTGAGTCAGGGCCAGATGTTGGTTAGGTCTGCATATTAATAATCTGGGTTATCAGGTTTACAGCAGAGTGACTCAGCTGTTGGAGGCAGGAAATTTATATATATATATATATATATATGCAGAGGGAAATGAGGGATTTTAATCCCATCTTCAGCCTCAAACATCAGCAGGTCCAATCACTGACAAACATCTGGAACCAGACGTTTTATTAAACTAGAAACATCTAGAACCAGGCATTTTATTTACAGAGAAATAACTGCCGAGAAACATCTGGACCAAGGTTTAATGATCACCGGAAAAACATCTGTAACCAGGTCTTTTATTCACCAAGAAACATCTGGAACCGGGGTTAACAACTGCTGCGAAACCTCTAGAACCAGTATTACTAGTGGCTCATAAACCGCTGGATCCAGGATCAGTCATGTTGATCTAGACCACGGGTGTCCAAAGTGCAGCCCGAGGGCCATTTGCGGCCCCTGGAGTGGTTCTGTGCGGCCCACAACTGCAGTTGGTATGGTATCACTTTGGCCAGCAAGCTTAAGAGGTTGATGCAGACTTTCTGCAAATTCATTAGTAATCCTTTTTAAAAGTAATCCTTTTTTTATGTAATGTTTAGGTTTAACAGCAAAATGTATGAAAAACATTATTCTCAAAATGAGCAATATCAAGCTAAATACAAACGTTTGGCTATAATCTTTTTATTTTCACTTCATGGTACAAAGCACCAAAAACCTACTGATTTTACCAGAAAGCCGACTTTTGAATAATGATTCATAAAACTTGGCTAATTGCAGTTGATAAAGTAATTGAGATGGAAATTGGACATTTTTAAATGAATATAACTTGGTGTCATCTACGTACGAGCTCAAACATGAATCTGTTGCAGCGACTGACATCTGGATGATTTTTCAGAACTTCCATCAGCCTTTCGGCTCGTCCATGATCGACCCTCTTTTAAAAGGACACTTGCTCATATTACGCTTTTGTTGCTTAGTACAAACTAAACTTAATTTTCAAAACACAAGAAAACAACAAACATAGACCCAACAAACCAAATAAATTAAATCCTTTTTAATAAAAAACATAAGCTTAGTGTTAATGAGGCTTTTAGTGTTTAGATCTACAGCCATTTCTCCACCAAAATAAGAAAACTTTTGTCCTTTCTCCAAAATATTGTTCATGTTTCGAGTTAAATCCACGTTTTTGTGGCCCACGAGTCATTTCATCTTGATGGTTTTGGCCCACGTATGACAACATTTGGACACCCCTGATCTAGACGGTTTATTTGTGGGTCAAACAGGAACCAGGTCCATTTGAGGAAATGTTTTGTTCCTGAACTCTTCATAGTTTTTAAATGTTTAAAGAAAACCAGGTCCAGTTGGTTTAAGGAGAACCAGGCCTGGACTCTGGTGGCTTTAGAAGTGAATCTGCTTCAGACCAAGCTGGATCTTTGGTTTGGTTCTGGTCCAAAGAAGCAGGATCAGACCCTGTAGGTCGGCTCACTCTGACCTCGGTTCTTAATTTACTGAACCAGAACACGGGTGCCGATGCTTCTGCTGTAAACGGTCGTATATGAAAATGCTTCTCTGTGCTGCTGGTACCGCCTCGTTCAGAGCTGTGAGGTCTAAAGGTCGCGGCTGCTGTGACCTCTGCTATAAAGGTCAGCGCCCAGGAAAAGATTCAGCACATGTGGACTTCTATCTTTGTCTTCTGAGCTGAACGACTGAGAATAAATAAAATAACTCAGATGTCAGGGTTGTTACCAGAACTCCTTTTACTTTTTTTTAAAATGTGTTAAATAATGTTGGGCTCCTTGTTCTCAGCAGCATTGTTTTTCATTTGAATTTTAATAGAAATTATTTTATTCTGATGTTCTTGACTGATTAGAATCTGTGTAATCCCATAATCCAATCATTTTTTTTAAATTTTCCTCTGACGTATCGTGCCGGTGGCTGAATATAAATCAAACGCAGACTCTTGGTGGTTGGGGCTGCTGATCCTCACCAACTCTTCTTCCTACAGAAGATTCCTGGAAAAGAGACAAACTTTAGATCAAAACAAAAAGACACATTGTTCTGCTGCCTCAACTCCGTCCAGCGAGGCTCAGCTTTTTATCGTTCTCTTGTGGATTAAATGGACCGTACTTGGGTCTGGATTTGGGTTTAACACATGAAGGGTGTTCATAATTCTCATCCACAGACCCACATGGAGTTTCTTCTTGGGTCCAGAATAAATGGTCTTTTCTACATTGACTTGCAAAAACATGCCTGTGTGCCTGAAACCCTGCTGGTCCAGACCTGGTCCAGACCTGCTAGCATCAGTGACTGAGGGCAGTGCTACAAAGACCACTCTGATCAATTTAAACTTTTAGAACCAGAACCAGCGTAGAACCTCACCTCTTTGGTTTAAGAGAGGTGGAGAGGAACGACGCCCTTTTAAACTAGGATAAACTTCTACCAGAACCATAAGAGGCAGGTCCATTTACCTGGACCAGCTGAGGGTCGAGGATCGACAGAAGAATTGAGCCAGTGGTTGTTTCTGTGGAGAGAAAATCTGAGACTCTAAAGTGATGATTTTCTTTTTGTGTCCCGCAGAACCCGTGGACCAGGGCTCAGGTGGATTCTCTGGTGGCAGCAGGTCGTCTGGATGATCTATGGTCCAGATTCTGCAACAGAGTGAGCTTTGGTACTGCCGGACTCCGAGCGCCGATGGGAGCTGGATTCAACCGGATCAACGATCTTACCATCATCCAGTCCACGCAGGTGAGACCAGTTCATACACCAGAACCAGGTATGGGTTGACATGACGGGTATTTAGTAAAAATACTACGGTTTTGCTGTTTAAAATTTATAAACAATTCACAATTTATTTGCTTTTGTTTAAAAACAAAATTTTAAATACTCTACTACCTAAAAAAGGCCATTTAACTGAATATTTACGCTACGTGTAAAATAATATATTTGTAATTGTTTTAATGTTATATAAATAATGAGAAGGGTCAACACAAAAGAACACATTGACATCACTCTGTTTTAAAATCTGTCAACATTTTCCTGAACTCAAAATAAAATTTAAACCAATATGTGATCAGTTTTTTAAAAATGTATAACATTTTTATCATCCATCCATGATATTTCGCTTGTTCGGGTCATGAGGACAGCAGCTTGAGCAGAGAGGCTCAGGCGTCTTTCATCCAACTCCTCCTCTGGTTGAGGTCAGCAGCAGCCCACCTTCACTGAACACCGTGTTAGTAAAGAGCTGCTTTCTCCTCCTCAGCCACCTGATGGTTTGCCAGAATCTCCTCAGAGCCGACCGAGAGTCTTTATCCAAGTCTCGCTGAGCTTTTACCTCAGCGACAGCCAAGGCTGCGGACCGCTTGGCCCTCCAGTACTTCTCTGCTGCCTCCTGAGTCCCACCAGCCAACAAGGCCTGATAGGATCCTTTTTCAGCTTGACAGCCTCCCTAACCCGCGGTGTCCACCACCTAGTTTGTGGATAGCCACCGCAAGAAGCACCAACAACCTTTTGGACATGGCTCAAAGCAGCCACCCCAACAATTGAGGCGCGGAACATGGTCCACTCGGACTCAGTGTCCCCAGCCTCAGCTGGGATGCAGTTAAAGCTCTCCTGGAGGTTTGAGTTGCAGAATCTTCTGCCAGGTGTTCCCAGCAAACCCTCACGTTTGAGTCTACCAGGTCTGTCCGGCATCTTCTCCCGCCATCTGATCCAACTCACTACTGGGTGATGATCAGTTGACAGCTCAGCTTCACCTGAGTGTCCAAAACAAACGGCTGCAAATGAGATGACATGACTATGAAGTCAACCATCGATCTACGACCTAGAGCGTCCTGGTGCCAAGGGCACTTCTGTTGTGTTCAAACATGGTGTTTGTGATGACAAACTATATGACTAGCACAGAAGCCCAGTAACGGAACACCATTTGAGTTCAGATCAGAGGTGCCTCCCGATCACGCACCTCCATGTCACAGTCATTACCCATATAGGCATTCAAGTCCCCAACAGGTGCATCTAGCACCACTGCTAAGGACTTCAAGAAGGCCGGATACTCTGAACTGCTGTTTGGCACATAGGCACTAAAAATTACAAGAGCCCGTCTCCTCACCTAAAGGCACATGGAAGCTACCCTCATCTACCGAGGAAGACTCCAACACAGGTACCAAGTGGGGAGGCTGAGAGTAGACCCACACCAACTCGGCGCCTCTCACCATAGGCAACTCTGGAGTGGAATAAGGTCCAGCTCAAGGAAACTGGTTCCAGAGCCCATGCTGTGCGTCAAGGTGAACCCAACTACTGCATATCGTGCTGGAACCTCTCAACCTCACACACAAGCTCAGGCTCCTTCCCCGACAGAGAGCTTATGTTCCATGTCCCAAGAGCCAGCTTTGGTAAACCACGGTCAGAGTGCAAAGTGGGCACTCGGACCACTTTGCACCCAACTCGTATGACCCTTCCTTCAGGTGGTGGGCCCACAGGAAGGTAAACCCATGTTCATTACCCACTGAGCCCGACCAGACCCCATGGGTAGACCCGGTCACAGGGCACTCGCTGACGAGCCCGTCCCTTAGCCCTGGCTCCAGTGTGGGGCCCCAGTAACCCACTACTGGGCAAGGGACATCGAGCTCCTTGTTTGTTTGTTGTTTTTTGCAGAATTTTGCTAAACCATTAAAAATAATTTATTGTAAATAAACAATCCATGCCGCTCGTGTGGCTCATCCATCAATCGGCCAATTGTGTGTCATGTCCAATCTTACTTTGAAAAACCGTGAAAGTCGAACTATGAAGCAGCGAGGGACTACTGTAAAGGTAAATATTTTTGAAAAGTACAAAAATCACAAAAACCAAAGGTCACTTCTTCCATCTCCTGAATGAGCTGAACGTTTTGATATATGCATGTTTAAAATATCACAGAGTGCAGACAGTATTAATTACCAAGAAAATAATTAAAAAAATCACAAAGTTAGCTGGTTATTAGCCTCGTTAGCAAGCCTATGTATTTCACCTGCTAACATGCTAACTATTGTAGCTTTTTGGAAATGTTTGTTTCAATACAGTGTTGGCTTGAAAGGACAGAGTGTTCTCCGTTAGACAAGCCATGACTGACCGAGTTATCCACCAGATGAACTGAACAATCAACCCGATGACGTTGTTTTTAAGAGCAGAAAAGTTTAGGACAGTTTGTCCTCAGCTACCAAACAAAGTGTGACCAGACGGAGTGAGAAACAAAAACCTGCTCGTCTCTGGTTTCTTACTAAAATATATGGAAACCATCTGAGTGGTGTGACGGTAAAATGTGTTTTAAAACCTTTTCCCACCGTTGAACCGATGGCCGACCCATACCTAACCAGAACCATTCGGGGTGCGCCCAGGTGCTGGAGTCACATCTGCTCTGTCTCTGGTCTGTAGGGGCTGTACACGTACCTGTGCAGGTGCTTTGCTGACCTCGGCAGCAGAGGAGTGGTTGTTGGATTCGACACCAGAGGTCAGGAGGAGAGCGGCTGCAGCAGTCAGAGGTAAACCTCATCAGAACCAAAGATTCAAACAAAAGAACAAATTACATTTTTAAACTTTGTTATACTGTAATTTATTTTCTGTCGGCTTTGTGTGTTTATCAGCTGAAAACGGAGCTTTGGTTCCTGCAGGAGTTCCTCCTGTGTGAACTGGGCCACCTTCAGAACTTTGCTTTCTTCTAACACGATTCTTTCATCCAAACACAAAAAATAAACTAGAACCAAAACTTTATCAGTCAGAACCTGGTTCTGGTCAGATGGTGCCGTAAACAATAAAGCGTGAATTTTCCAAGATCCTGAACCGGTTAAAAAAAATAAAAATATATATATATATATATACATACATACACACACACACACACACATACATTTTGATGTTGACAGCACTGGGAGTTGAACCTGTGACTTTCCGATCACAAGCCCATCTTCAAACCTCTGCGCCACCACTCCCCCTATATATACAGTCGTCCCTCGTTTATCACAGGGGTTCACGTTCTCAGCCTCACAC